ATAATTTTATTGTTATTTAAATGATTAATTTTTTTTATTCATTTATAACTTATAATATTAACTTCATCTATTTATTTAATGACACATAAAAATTGTATAAAAAATATTATATAAAAAGATTATTCATTTATTACCACCCTTTGGAAAGGTCTATGACTATAAAAATGAATTCAAATAAAATCCACTACATTTTGAATTATAAAAATAGAGTCCATATCCTAAATTAAAGATAAAAGGGAAAAAAAAATCTCATTCTTCCTAAATCAATGTCTTTATATGCTCATCTATCAGCACCATCACCATTAATTAACCTTACCAAAGCACCATAGCCATTGTTTGGGCAGCTTTGTGGTCCAATACTATTGAAGTCCTCAGCTGCTTCTACACCTGAAATTCTTGAGGGTGTTTTTTCGGAGAGAACACTCCGATGCTCAAGTCAGCAATACTCAATATTCTAGAAAGAGATGCTCTCCAAGAGTAATTGTAGAGAGAGAGAGACGTAGAAGAGTTACTATCTTATATGGAGGTAGTTGGGGGTATTTATAGCCCCATATGCTGACATGAGCTCAGACATGTGTTCATTCAATTGGTCCACGTGTTATTGCGTACGTGGGTATGTTTCCTCATCTTGGGTCTGTGAGTGTATAACTGGGCCTGCTGCATGTGGCCCGAAGTGGGTGTTAGGCCTAATTCCAACATTACTCATCCCTCAATGTTCGATTGATGAATTGGGTTGAGAGTCTCATTAGCACGGTGTTTGACCCTGAGGATGAGGAGTGACATCTTATGGTTTATGACCGACCTCACGTATGGCCGATCTGGGCGGCCTGAAGCCAGCATGGCTTGGTCTGATGCGTATGTGTATGCCAGCTTCCTATCAAACAGGCGCGAGGAAGCTGGTGTTAAAACCAAGCAAGCTCAGTGCTAATCGACGAGCTAAGCAGGCGCACAGACTCGACCTCGCATAATGGATTTCCTATGGCAGAGCGAAGGCGAGTAGATGGTGGATGAGCTGGGCCAATCAACTTAGACAAGCTGAAATGAGTGACCTCAATCGTCACCATAATGTAGATCTCCGAGATACAGAGTAAATCTGAGGGAGTTGGTGACGATCTAACGTTTGATGTTCAAAACCGAGGTGGATCTCTGATTTGTTGCGACCTGATCTCTAAAGATTTTTCAAATTTGGAATCTCTGAAGAGATCTCGGATTCGTGACGAGTTGATTCCTCGAGATTTTCAAATTTTGAATCAAGGCATATCTCTGAGGAGATCTTGGATTTGTTACGAGCTGATTCTTGAGATTTTTCAAATATAAGAATCTCACACAATGGCAAATCTCAGAGGAGATTTGCTCAGGGCGTTTGGTATTTTTCTACTAACGGCAAATATCCTTCTGCCTTCTCGCAATAAATGCTAGCTCAGCATTTGAGAGGATGTGACAGCTGCAAACTGCGAATTTTGGGCGCTTCACCATAAATGACTGTCATGTGGACGTGTTTAACTAGGGAGCCATAAACACGGGTACATCGTTCCAGGAGCACTATCTGAAGGACAAAAAACAAAAGCAGTTACTCAACCATTCTCTATTCCATTGCATAGTACGTTAACGTTTTCATTAGCAAAGGTTGCAGAAATGCTCCAAGCCATTCTTCAGAACTTCCAGCGAAAGGACATCTGATTTCAACTACTCAGGTAAAAATGGCTTCTTTTTATGATGCACAAGAGTTTCGAGGTAACCAAGGTGGGGAAGAAGAAGTAGATGTGATATTAGTGGAGCCTATCACCATGATAGTGCCACTGGAGTTGCAAGATTTGCCCATAACCATCACGCCGGAGAGTAGCGCTAGTTCGAGCGCGGGTGGTGGTTCCAGTGAGCGCCGTTCTTCAACTTCGTCTAGTGATTCATCCACGGAAGAGGCGCCCAGTGAAGCGGGGGGTGTTGAAGAGGTTGGCTGTAATGTGCCGGCCGACGACAAGTACAACGACGGAGGTGGTTGTGTTCGAAGGGTGGGAGAGTAAGGTTATCAACAGGAGATTGGATAACCTTCGCAAGGCTCCCAAAACCCTACCAGCTGGGTTTAGGTTCAGAGCGGCGCTGCACCACGAAGTTGTGGATGGCGCAGCCATAGTGAAGGGGTACAAGAAATTAGAGGAGATGGTGAGACAATACCAGATCCCCAGAACCATCTTGATCTGAGCTGGGACACCAAACAAATGAGCGTGTTCAGTGTCGAGGACGGGCTGGGTGCCAGTGTACGTAGACCATTTTGATGCTGATCTACGTTTCCCTCTGCCCGGACTAATTTTTGATGTCTTGGGAGAGTACGAGCTGGCCCTAACATAGCTAACTCCCAACATCATAAAGTTTATTATAGGCTTTATGCTGTTGTGTGAGAGGTTGGGAATGCCAGTGAAGGCAGTGGTCTTAAGGTCGCTCTTTTTGAGTCATCTACGCCCTTCCACCAGTGGAACGAGATGGTACTACATCTCCAGAAGAGAAAAGATGATGATATTCACCAACATCAGGAATAAGGTGGCAAGGTGGAAGAGAGTTTATCTTCGTTCGCGATACGCGAACTGAAAGGATCAATAACGAGCTCGCCGCCCGTCTATCAGAGTGGCGTACACCCAACGCCTACATGAACTACCTGCAGCTGACTGTTGGTGATATCGACCTGAAGAACCAGTTGCTCGATCATGTGAAGGCGAGGGGTTTGGTGGATTTGGAAGCCTTGGTTACTAGGGAGCAGCTCGCATTACTTGGGTTTGTTAACATGACAAACCTACATGCTGAAGGTATATTTCTATAACATAGCATAATTTCTAGCCGATCTGAGTCTTATGCCTTTGTTTGTGCAGGAGAAATGAGTAGTATCCTAGAGAGGCAGCGTCAACGAGCACAAGGCTCGAGGAACCGTGGAGCTAGGTCCGGTTCCCAATGCTAGACTCGCTTTGACAAGTGGCCACCTGCGGCACTTGGGCGCAATTTGTCGCACAGAAGTTCCAGCTTGTCACCGAGACCACGTGCCTAGTAGAGAGTTGAAACTGCACCCTCGAGTTCAAGAAGGTGCGTGAGGGAGGGCTCTAACGCTGAGGATGACACTCCCCTCATCTGGCGAAGGACGAGTATGGGACCTCAGCCCGCCCTAGCCACTGTAGGGCGGCCTGCCAACATGCCTCCGGCACCAACACGTGAGGTCACTGAACTAGCACCTACCTCGTCGTCTATAGTGGGGCCAAGAATTGCATACCTGGATTGCTTCAGTTATGTTATAACTGACTGCCAAGCCGCAATGGTGCAGGGTATGCAGAGCTTTGTGCCCCCTGCAAATCGGCAACATGCTAAGGGGCACGTCCAGCAGCATGGAGGTCATGCTGCTTTGCTGAAGCTGATGGATGTAAGTATACTCATCGAGCTCATTGTTGTTCTTTTATCAGTTTGTGTTATAAACTGACGAGTGAATATATATGGTAGGCATTCAGCTTTACTGTTGCACTCTTTGAGTGCAATCAGGGAACGCGGGTGCAGAACCGCGAGCTCGAACAAAAATGCAAACAACTAGCCTATGAGAAAGTCAGTTTGGCTGATGAGGTCAGTCATTTGTAGAGCTTGGAGATGGCCAACCGAGCGGTGTCAACAGAGAGCCAAGCTGACGAGTTGGCCTGCAAGGTCAACGAGCGGAGGGAGGAGCTTGAAAAAGCTCAGGCAGAGAAGGAGAGCGGCATTCAAGTTGCCAAGGAAGAGGCCGGCCATGCAAAAGACCGGGCTAAAAAGGTAGAGTCTAACAGGGAAAAGACTCTACACGAGCTGAACGCCCTGAAAGATAGGGTCTCGGAAGCTGATCTGCACATCGCCCAAGCTGAGGCGTCCTTGGAGAAGACCAAAAGGCTCCACCAGCGCGATGCCTGCTTTGCCCGAGCACAAGGGGCTGAGTGGCTGGTTGGAGCAGACACGTTCAAAGACGCCATCGCAGTAGCCTCTACCAACACCACCACAAACATCTTCAACGAGGTTCGTGGAAAGGTGCTGCGACACCAGGCTGACTTCCTTATCAACGAGCTAGCCTTCTTCAAGGGCGAGGAGATTGATGAAGAAGGGAAGAGCCTTGCCCTTCCAACTGACACACGGGTGAGGTTGAAATGGGAGCTCAATGAAAAGGGGTTGCCCGTGTGGCCCCCTTTTGTTATTGAAGAGGGGGAAGACATAGAGGGGATGCCAAGCTTTGATGCTTGGGTGGCAGAGCCCCAGGATGTGCCTGCTAAGCCTTCCAACACTCCCCCATCTTCTCAGCCCGCCCCAGCCACTACTCCTACTCTCTCTCCTCCAGATCGGCCATCTCCTGCTCGATCTGTTATTGTGCCCACTGACGCATCCATCCCCGTCAACCTGACAGATGATTAGCTTAAGATTTTCTTTGTTTCTTTTATATTGCTTTTGTATGTTTGTGTTGATCAATAAACTAATTCATTATGTACTTCAAATGTAAAAATCATTGATGAAATACAAACTTGAATCTTTTCCTTTGAAGTTTCTGTATTGATTATAGTGTATTTTCTATACATTGTCATTCACAGTTGATTGATAATAACTTGAATAAGATAATAACATACATGTTAACTGTAAAACTTTCTAAAATTATGTATATTCCAAATGAATGGTAAATGACGACCTTGTAGATCTACCAACTGATAAGACCCAGGTCGCTTAACACAAATAACCATATAAGGACCTTCCCAGTTTGGTGCAAGTTTCCCCATATGTGCGTAAGCGTTATTGATCCCAGCCTTGCGTAAAACCAGATCGCCAACTTGAAATTGACGAGCTTGAACCCTCTTATTATAAAATCTAGCAACACGACTTTGATGTGCCATGTTTCTTATTCGAGACATCTCCCTAACCTCTTCTATGAGGTCTAGGTTTTCTCTTAAAAGTTGCTCATTACTAAGATCATTGTGTCGAGCTACTCTGTCGGATGGTAATTCGACCTCTACAGGGATGACGGCCTCAGCTCCATTGGCAAGGCTGAATGGTGTTTCGCCTGTGGTCGAGCTGGGTGTGGTGCGACATGACCAAAGCACCCTATTGAGCTCGTCAACCCAATTAGAATGTGTAGCTAAAACACGCGTCTTGAGACCTCGCAAGACAATTTTATTGGTGGACTCGGCTTGTCCATTTGACTGTGGAGTATATACATATGTCAAGGCGAGCTCAATGCCATAGTCATTGTAGAATGACTTTAGTGCTGCAGCTCGAAACCGTGGACCATTGTCGGCGATGATCCGTTTAGGTATGCCAAACATGTACACAGATGACCAAGCTGAGCCATAAGTTATATTTGTATGCAATGTACAAATGGTGTAAGCCACCAAATAGTACATGTATAATATTGAGTTGAACAGGAATTCCTCTATTATCTTCTCTGTTGTCGTGGATAATGGTTTAGCTTCTATGCATTTGGTGAAGTAATCCACCGCGACAACTAGGTAAGTGCAACCTCCTTTGCTTTTGACAAAAGGGTCGAGCAAATCGACTCCCTATTAAGCAAAAGGCTAGGGTGATGAAAGCGATGATAGCATTTCTCCTGTTTCAATGGAGATATTTATGTTCAATTTATAGACAAACAAGAAGGTTGCACAAACTTTAGAAAGAGCTCAGATACTTGGCATGTGAATGTCATCAGCATTGAACTGGCAGGTCGAGCACTTTTTGACATAGTTTTGTGCGTCCTCGACCATAGTAGGCCAGTATTACCCATGTCTCAGGAGTTTCAGAGCCAATGTTTTACCACCTATATGTGTGCCACATACTCCTTCATGAACTTCCCTTACAACATATTCAGCTTCATAAGGAGTAAGGCAACGTAGTAGGGGCATTGAGGCTGCTCGCTTGTAGAGCTATTTATCTATCAGAGTGAAGTGTGTCGCCCTACGTTTAACCAACTTTGAAGTGGATGGGTCTTCAGGCAGCTCGCCGCTTCGCAAATACTTAACGAGGGGTGTAGTCCAGCTCGGCGAAGAGGGATCTGTGCTTAACAATTGACACTCGACTGTGAAGTCGGTGTAGCTCGGTGCGTCAAGTACCTCCATAATTGTTGATCTTTGAGGATTGATATCTTGTGAGGAAGCTAATTTTGATAGCTCGTCGGCTCGTTGGTTATCAACTTTGGGTATCTTGTTGATCTAGAAAGAGACAAATCCTGATTTCAATCTGTTGACTACAGAAGCATAATGACCAAGCTGAGGGTCCCTGATTTCACAGCTTCCATTCACTTGGCCCACAACGAGCTGAGAATCGTTGAAAATTTTTATGCTTTGAACTTTTAGCTTGGACGCTAGTTTCAAACCATAAATAAGGGGCTTCATATTCTACAGCATTATTTGTTGTTTGAAACTTGAATCTTAATGCATGCTCGGATTTAAAGCCTTTTGGGCCTACTAGCACTGCCCCAGCACTCGATCTTTCAATATTAGCAGCTCCATCTACATACAAAACCCAGACTGGGTATATGGGTGCTCTTTCTTCTACCGTCGTAAAAAGGCACTCCACTAGGAAGTTCGCCACAGCCTGGCCTTTTATGGTTGTGCGCAGCTGAAATTTGAGGTCATACTCGCTCAGCTTGACGCTCTACCCAATAAGCTGACTAGAGAGTTCTGGCTTCTGCAGTATCTTCCTCAATGGTAGATCAGTATAAACAACGATTTGGTGTGATTGAAAGTAAGCTCTCAACTTGCGAGCCGTGTATACTAGGGCAAAAGCAGCTTTTTCTGCTAGTGGGTAGTTCTGCTCCGCACCCTGTAAAACCTTACTCACATAGCAGATGGGCTTCTGATGTTTATTCTCTTCCCTTAGTAAAACCGAGCTCACGGCCTCCTCTATAACCCCCAAATACAAGTACAAGCTTTCTCCTTCCATGGGCTTGGAAAGCAGGGGTGCTGACACCAGATATTGTTTGAGCTCATCAAACGCTTGCTGACACTCATAGGTCCATTGAAAGTTCTTAGGCTCTCATAAGGCTTTAAAGAATGGGAGGCACCTCTCTACCAACTTGGCTATGAACCTATGCAACGCAGCCACACGACCTGTCAGACGCTGCACATCTTTCACAGTCTTAGGAGGTTCCATCTGCTGAACAGCCTGAACCTTCTCTGGGTTTACCTCGATTCCTTTCTTAGATACCACGTACCCTAGGAATTTTCCTGATTCTACAGCAAACGTGCATTTCAGGGGATTCAGCTTCATCTGGGCTCGACGCAAGTTCTGAAATGTTTCATTCAGGTCGTCTATATGATCTTCAGCTCGCTTACTGGTGACTATCATATCATCCACATATACTTCAATATTCCTTCCGATCTGGAGTTTAAAGACGACCTACACTAGCTTCTGATATGTCACGCCAACATTTTTCAGGCCAAATGGCATCTTGACATAGCAGTAAATTGCATCACCAACATAAAAAGCAGTTTTCTCTTGGTCATCCAACAACAACTGAACCTGGTGATAACCCGAGCTGGCATCAAGGAAACTCATCCGTTCATGTCCTGCTGCTCGCTCTACTAACTTCTCAACATTTAGCAAGGGGTGAGGGTCTTTCGGACATGCCTCATTTAAGTTAGTGAAATCAATACACATCCTCCACTTGCCGTTTGGTTTCTTGACGAGCACAGGGTTGGACACCCACTTAGAGTATTCAACTCTCTTGATGAAGCCTGCTTGTAGTAGTTTTTGTATTTCTTCATCTATAGCAACCTGCTTCTCAGGACCAAAAATGCGACGTTTTTTGGACCACCAGCCTTTTAATCGGGTCCGTATTGAGCTTGTGGACTGACAACTCTGTTGGAATGCCGGGCATTTCATCCGTTGTCCACACAAACACATCTTGATTAGCCCTTAGAAACCCTAAAAGCTCTGCTCCTTCTTCCACTAAGAGCTTAGTGCCAACCTTAACTGTTCTTTCCAGAATGTCAGGGTTCAACGGGACCGCTTCCACTGGTTCTACTGGCTCAGCCTTCTGCTCGACACCTTCAGGTCGGTGCTCAATATCTGATATGCTCATTGTCTGTTGGCCGAGCTAAGTCGGCTTGTGACTTTCAAAAGAGCCTCTTGGGGCTGCAGCGAGCTTAACCTTCTTGAATGTATCTTGATAGCAGGTTTTGGCCATCTTTTGGTTCCCCTTAAGTACTCCTACCCCCTAAGGAGTTGGGAATTTCATAAAGAGACGAGGTTGTGAGATGACAACCTTCAGCTCGTAGAGGGTGGTTCTTCCTAGTATGGCATTGAAAGCTGACTCCATTTTGACGACTAGAAAGTTAACTGAAGCTATCCTAAAGCGTGGTTCTGAGCCCACATAGATGGGAAGAGTAATGACTCCTTCCACCGAGACGGGTTGGTTATCAAACCCATATATGGGCCCTTCATACTTCTGCAATGAGCTCGGATTCAACTGCATCTTCTGAAAGCAGCTCCAATATAGGATATCTGGTGAACTACTAATATCAATAAAGACCTTGTTGATGTTATGATTGCCTATATGAACCGTTGCTACAAAAGGATCAACATGGGGCATCATAACGTCTGGTTCTTCCCCTTAGCGTTTGTAATCGGCTGGGCTGAATGTAATAGGTACATTTTCCCATTCTGCTTCTTCAAAGGGGCGCTTTAGAGGCCTATTCTTGTTTACCGTCATGACTTGACGAGCATAAGCCTTATGACCTCGAGCACTTTGGCCTCCTGAATGCATACCACCAGAAATCATATTGATTGTGCCAGATGGTGGGGGAATCCTGCTGTATCCAACCCCTCTATGGTCCTTTTGATTCTGCGTGGATGTTTTCTATCCTTTCCATCGCCTGTTGAATGGGCGTCCCCTGTATGTTCTGTTGGGCCCGGACGAGTATTGACTCGCCTAGTAAGGAATTGGATTGTTGCCAAGTTGGTATCCATGTGCCTGAGATCGGCCATACTCTTGCACGAAATGGGTCTGGGTGGGTTGCCGAACGTAAGGCTTCAGTACATACCCCTCCAATTTTTTGTTGCGAGCTAAGAATTCAAGCTCGTCCTTCAAGCTTTGGCAGTCCTCTGTGTTATGGCCGTATCCATGGTGGTAGTTACAATACTTGCTTCTGTCAGCTCGTGAAAAATCATGGGTTTGGGGAGGGGGTCTCTTGACCCAGTGTTGTATCTACGCCAATATCTAGGACCTGGATGAGTTCAAGGGAATGTAACTGTCATATTTTGGATAGGATGGCGATTTTCCTCTCTGCTCGCCAACTTTCTGTTTTTTCTTTTCATCCCTCCCCTCAGGCTACCTAGGCTCTTTACCCTGTCTGTCGTTAGCTCGTCTCTTAGAAGATTAAAAATCTTCAGACAGTATCAAACTTGTCGACCTATCATTTACTTCATTCCACGACTTAGGTGGATTCTCTAGCAGGTCGTCTAGAAACCGGCTAGGTTTAAGGCCATGCAACAAAGCAGATAAGCAAATGGTATCCGGGACATTATCAATGTCTAGAATGGACTTATTAAACCATTGCATATAGTCCCTTAAAGACTTTCCCTCCTTCTGATGAACTTGCATCAGCTCAGCAGTGGTGTGCTTGATTTCTCTTTGACTCGGGAACTTGTTCGAAAATAGAGTGGCGAGCTCAGAATAGGAGGCTATAGAATGTCTAGGTAACTTGTGGTAACATCTTCTAGCCATTGATTTCAAGGTCGCAGGGAAGACTTTACACATCATGGCGTCAGTGGCATTCTGGATCCTCATGATGGCTTGATAAGTATGCAAATGCTCATCCGAGTCTCCAGAGACATCGTATGTCTCCAAATGAGGAATCTTAAATCCCTCTTGATATGGTTCAGCCGTAATGGACAAGTTGAGGGGGGCACTATCCAAGTCAAGAGCCTGCTGGCGCGACCTAGGACTCTTTAGCTCATCAATAGACTTCTGCACATCTTTGAGCTGTCTTTCGAGGTCAGCGTTTTTCTTTAGTAGTTCCTCATTATGCCTGGACGAGTTGGGTTCTGGGTTTAACTTCCCACTTCCCTTTGGTATGGTCGGGACCACTACATTGCTTAGGGCCAGAGAGTTACAGGTTGCAACTACTGCTGCTGGCTGTTCACCCATATTCAGCAAGAGAATTAAGGGGTCATCGGGGTTCAAGCGAGAGAGAATTTTTCCCATGGTTATCTCCAGAACTCTTGTTCTTTCTTCCAACTCGGATGTTCGAGCAGATTCTACAGGTCTCTCCACAGGTTGTGTAGTATTATGCCTGGGATGCCTTCATCTGGCTTCAGACGGGATGTGAAACTGTTCTTTAGGTTGGGTTGCATACCCTGTAGGTGTTCTTTCATCATCATCTGAAGTGTTGGACTGTTCTTGTTATGCACCGCCAACAAAGAGGTTTCTCGGAAGTGTTTGGAAGTGGTTGAAATCACTTTCCAACACATGAGTGTTATCCTGGTTGTCCACATTGCCTCTTGAGGGGTGGTTTCCTATGAAGATGTGCACCATTTTCAGTTCATGTCGATTAAGTCACAATGCTTTTTGTTCAGGTTCCCACAGACGGCGCTAAATGTTTGGGCAGCTTCGTGGTCCAACACTGTTGAAGTCCTCAGTTGCTTCTACACTTGAAATTCCCGAGGGTATTTCCTCAAGAAAAACACTTCGACACTCAAGTCAGCAATACTCAATATTCTAGAGAGAGATGCTCTCCAAGAGTAATTGCAGAGAGAGAGAGACGTAGAAAAGTTAATACCTTGCATGGAGGTAGTTGGGGGTATTTATAGCCCCATATGCTGACATGAGTTCAGACATGTATTCATCCAATTGGTCCACGTGTTACTGCACACGTGGGCATGTCTCCTCATCTTGGGCCTGCTGCATGTGGCCCGAAGTGGGTGTTGGGCCTAATCCCAACAGCCATAAATTTTTATTATGAAAACAATATACCTGCCAAAATCTTCCTTCTGAACATCACCAATAAATATTATGATTTTAAATAAGATGAATCAATATCCTTAAACAAGAGTTTAATTTAATTCATTGGTTTTTTATATCAATTTTTGAACTCATTAGAATTGAAATACGGAGCATGAATTTTCTGTCCACCCTTGAGTTTTTTCTTGAGATAAAGAAAAGAAGTTTGGTTGAATACCCTTTTTGGTCCCTTTACTATAGGGAAAAGCCCTTTTTTGGTCCCTGTACTGAAAAATCACATTTTTGGTCCTTACTGTTCACAAATTCGGCCCCTTTTTAGTCATTCCGTTAAATTTTGGTTGATGTGGCAGGTTAATTAACGAAAAAAATCATTTTGTTTTTTTATTAAATTACGTGGAAAATCCACGTGGCAAAAATTGATGACATGGTTAAATTTTTTATTTTTAATTACTGATTTACCCCTCAAAAATTGATGACATTTAAAATTTTTTCCTTTAATTACTAATTTACCCTCTTCTTTCCTCCCCATCCTCTCCTTCCTCCGGCCTTTTCTTTTTTTTTTTTTCTTTTTCTCCTTTTACCTCAGGTGAACCCAGGAGTCCGGGTTCGCGAGGAACCCAGCTCATGGGTTCGCACCCAAAGCTTGGGTTCCTCGCGAACGTAGCTCGTGGGTTCGCACCCAAGAGCTTGGGTTCGCACCCAAGAGCTTGGGTTCGCACCCAGCAGCTTGGGTTCCTCGCGCACCCAGCAGCTTGGGTTCCTCGCGAACCCAGCTCATGGGTTCGCACCTAGGACCCTGGGTTCACACCCAGCAGCTTGGGTTCCTCGCGAACCCAGCTCGTGGGTTCACACCTAGGACCCTGGGTTCGCACCCAGCAGCTTGGGTTCCTCGCGAACCCAACTCGTGGGTTCGCACCCAGGAGCCTAGGTTCGCACCGAGCAGCTTGGGTTCCTCGCGAACCCAGCTTGTGGGTTCGCACCCAGGAGCCTGGGTTCGCGATCAGCTCGAGGGTTCACACCCAGGAGCCGGCCTCCTCACTGCCACCAATTACAACAACCTCAGCCAGTGCAAGACCCTCGACGACATCAAGATGCACCTTTCCGCTACTGAATACGGGCCTTATCTCCAGAATGGTACGTTTCGGTTTCTTCATATCTATTAATTTTATTGACGCTGTTCGGAATTTTGATATACAATTTGAAGTTAAGTGCACGATCATGAATTGAGTATTGAGCTGAGTGTGATGAGGTCGAATGGTGTTTAATTGTAGTAGGAGAGAGTTCTGCCTGATGTAATTTGATGTTTTGTGTTTTTTCTGGATATGTAATGCCCTGTTTGTTCGTTATGGCCAAGGTTTTTAAAATCGGACCGGACCGACCGGTTGAACCGGTCAGACCGATACCCGGTAATGAAAACGGTTCGGTTTACATATGAAAACCGTTTGATGTCAAAATCGGTCAAAATCGGTAGAACCGGTGAAACCGGTGGAACCGATAGAACCGAAAAAACCGCCGGCTCAATTTCTAATGCAACCTTCTTTCTGTTTTTTCCAATTTCACCCTCACCATTCCTTTCTTATACCTATTTTAACCCTTAATTTTAACAAAATTACAAAATCATCATGCACCAAATTAGAAAACCCTCGAGCTGGACTCCTCCTCCGGTCCTCCCAAGTCCCAACCGACGTTCTCTGCCTCTCTACCCTCACCTACACCGCCGGCGCTCCCCTCCCTCTCTGCTGTGTACGATCGCCGGCGTTGCTCTGTTGCTCTCTGCTTTCTGCAGCTGTTGATCTGCAGCCCTCACCGAACCTGCTCTCTGCCTTCTGCTAATGCACTCTCGCCGGAGCTGCTCTCTGCTCTCACCGAACCGAAGCTGCTATCTGCTTTCTGCTGATCTGCTTTCTACTCTCTGCCTTCTGCTGATTTGCTCTCACCGGAGCTGCTCTGCTTTATGCTGTTCTACTCTCACCGGAGCTGCTCTCTGCGTCTGCTGATCTGCTCTCATCGGAAGTTCGGAACTGCTTTTTGCTGATACTTTCTTTCACTTCAGTCCATCGACCCTGCTTTCTGCTGTTCTGCTCTCACCGGCACTTGTCTCTGCTCTCACCGCACTTGTCTCTGCTCTCACCGGCGCTTGTCTCTGCTCTCACCGACGCCGGTCACCTTTCATGTGCCTCCTGTTCTGCAATTGGCCTTCACTGCTTCTTCACAGCTCACACTTCACATTCACAGCTTCTCCCACCCGAGCACAGGTATATTTGGTTTCATAAATTGATGAGAAAAAATTGAATTAAATTTATAACTTTTTAGAATTAGAAATTGTTAATTATTTTCCAATTTTAGAATTAGAAATAGAGTTGCTGGACACTTTGAATTTTTTGTATTAATTAGCCATATGTTCTATATCTGGGTTGGTTTTTATATGTTCTGTATCTGGGTTGATTTTTGGACACTTGCAGGTTGCATATTTTGTGTTAATTAAACTTTTAACTTGTTTTAATCTTTTTTAGTTTTTGGAGAATCATTACATGTTGAAGGTGCAAGTGGAGGAATTGATTTGGAGTCTATTGGTGAAGAAAATGATGAAAATTATGATGTTGAAAATGATTTCTGTGAAGGTGATGCATGGTTCAATGAAGATCCTCCTAATTTAAGGAGAAATGAATGAACAAGTCATTTATTAGTTTATTTTATTTGTATTTGAAACTTAAATGAATTGTTATCTATTTAGATTTAAGCCTTTTTTAGACATCTTTTTCTATTTGTTTTTGGATTTGAAACTTGTATTATTTGCTTGCTTACTTGGTTTTTTCATATGTATTTTGTTTTGAGAATTAGTATTGAGATTATTTGATGAGTTTTTAAGGTAAAAAATATAATATATTTATGTTAAAAAGTTCTGAAAAATGGTCAGAAGAGCAAAAAATAATGTTGAAGGCTTGAAATGTTGAGCACTGGAAGTGGAGCTGCCCGCCTGTAGCCTGCAGATCTCCCTTGTTGTTTGGATCGGTCGGTTCACCGGTTCAATCGGTTGAACCGGTTAAACCGAGAACCAAACTTGAAAACGGTTCAATGACCGGTCCGGTTCTAAAAACCTTGGTTATGGCTGCCTTTTAGGTTTTGCGAACTCAGGCTCTTGGGTTTGCCTGGAGGTAAAAGAAAAAAAAAAGAAAAAAAAAGGCTGGAGGAAGGAGAAGCCGGGGAAGAAGATGAGGGTATTTTAGTAATTAAAATTAAAAAATTTTGCATGTCATCAATTTTTGCCATGTGGATTTTACATGTAATTTAATAAAAAAAAGAATGAGTGTTTCCGTTAATTAATCTGCCACATCAGCCAAAATTTAACGGAAGGACTAAAAAGAGGTCGGATTTGTGAATAGTAAGGACCAAAAAGGGGATTTTTTCAGTACAGGGATCAAAAAATTGCTTTTTCTTATAGTAGAGGGACCAAAAATGGTATTTAAACAAGAAGTATATGTGACTAGATTCAAGGAAAGCATGTAAAACTCGATCCCTATGAATGGAGGGAGGGGAATAAAGAAAGGATGGGAAAGGGGATAGGATGTCTCTTAAGATTCTCAATTTCCATTTTAAGTAGATTGTCTTCACCAACTAATTTTTCTTATTTATTTATTTTCAATTTATTTTTAAAAATAATTAATATAGGTACATTGATTAATATAAAAAATTCACTCTTTATTTACAATTTTATCATTGTACTTTCATTTTCACATTTTATATAAAAGGGTAAAATGAAGAGTCCTTTTTTTCTTATTTTTTATTTTCATATTAATATTGATCAATTTAAGTACTCTTAATACTTAATAATTAAGTTTTAATTAAATGAATATTGAAAACATAATTTAACTTTTATATGATTTTATCTAATTTTTTCGCTTCAATGTTTTAAATGGAAGGATAGAAAGAAATGTAGTTTCGAACTAAAATTTCTATATTTTAACACCGTTAATATCATATCAATGCCACATAAGCAATCCTGTCAACAGTCACTAACGGCAGTTGACTGAGGGACCAAGGTTGACTTCTTTTTCTAACTTCAAGTATTTTTTATGAATTGTTTTAAGATATAA